CTAGACAGTGAGAGCAATCTAACACGAGATCAATCCCTTTCCACAGTCACACAATCACAAGCACTTCTTTATGCAACCAGGCAGTCCGTCCAGCCAGTCTTCAGCCAATGCCATTCGGCATTGTTGCATTCACAAATGCATCTTGAACATTGAGGGCTCATTCGGGAGGTGTCATTTAACAGAGGGAGAGGGAGCGAGGGAGAGGGAGCGAGGGAGACGGAGCGAGGGAGAGAGAGTGAGAGAGAGGGAGAGAAGAGAGAGAGAGAGTCTGTCTGTCTGTCTGTCTGTCTGTCGGTCGGTCGGTCGGTCGGTCGGTCTGTCTGTCTGTCTGTCTGTCCGTCTGTCTGTCTGTCTGTCTGGTTGCCTTGTGTGTGTGTGCGCGTTTGTTTGCAATTGCGTGTCGTGGTCATGTTGGCTTTGCCATCAGTCTCTTATTATGTTATGTCCTGTCCTAGTCGGGTATCTTGTTTCAGTCCATGCTGTGGTGCAGTGCTATGTCGACTATGTGTTTCTTATTGTGCTGTATGGCATTCGGATGCTGTTGCATATTAACTAAGCTAAGATCTACGCGAAGTTGTGTGATGATCTGGACTTTGTTGTTGATGTGCTGAATCATACCATACTTCGTGTTTAAGATGTCGCGCTATCTACCACCATGGACGTGGCATGACAGAACTGGCAGTTGACCTGGGCGATCAGGGACCAAAACAGAAGCGGTTCAAAGAAACTATGGAGAAGCTGACAGAGGAGCCGAGGGTCCTCATCGTGCAATCAAGGGCTTGCGGGGGTCTGTATTTCGCATGATGCATCTTTGGTTTGGGAGCTTCCGAAAATTAGGGGTACCTTATTTTGGGGTCCTTATATTAAGGATCCTATTATTTGGGGTACTATATTAGGGTCCCCTATTTTCAGAAACCCCCATTTGTTATTCCTGAATTTGTCGGTAGTCGGCCAGATGTTGGCAGATGGATGCAAAGGCTTAAGATGTTTGTCAATGGCCGGATGCTGTTGGCCTGTGGCACCCCACATGCAAGGTCTGATTCATGGGACAGCCCTGTCTAGGATGCTGTCGAATACGCGCTGGGTGGCAAAGCCATCAGAGGCTACGGGGTGTACAGCAGATGCTTGGCCTTGAACACCCAATTTCAGACGGTCGGCCCTAGGAGGATCCGGTCCTCAAGTTCCAAAGTCATCCTAGCACCTCCTACGACGCATTTACCCGCACCCTGTCCACCCTCCCCATGCAGACGCTCCTGGAGAGTACTTGTAATGCACTACTACCAGGCTCCTTCACCCTCGTTTGCCGCACTTCAGGGGTCGGGGGATGATGACTTCTTGATCCCAGCATGATGATGTGGTCATCCCATCTACGACGCCCCGACACCTTGCTTCTGTGTAGCGTTGGGGGGGGTGGGGAGTGATGACGTCTCGTTGTCTGCTTCAACACTCGAACGGCTTGCTACCACTACGGCTCTTTTACTGCTTCTGCAGCTGCTGGTCGAGGCCTGCTTCGGCGACTCCTGCTGCCGCTACCGCTGCCACTACTGGTTTTTGTTACTGCTGCTGCAGCTGCTACTCTAGGCGCACTAGTGCCACTAGCTACACACACACATGGCGTTCCTAGACACGTCCTGGCTGCTGCCATTGTAAAAAGCCCTATTTGCTAGAGAACGGTCAGCCAAAACTCGAGGTTTTTGCCAATTTCACATGCAATTAAGACATTCACAAAGCTCCCGAATGTGCGTAAAACCCAAGCGAAAACACAGGTTTGATATGAACGCGCTCTAGCATGTCGCAATGAAGCACATCATCTACTACTGCTACTACTACTACTACTACTACTTCTACTACTACTACCACTACGACGACGACGACGACTACGACTACTACTGAAACTACTACTAATACTACGACGACGACGAAGACGACTACTACTACTACTACTACTACTACTACTACTCCTGCTGCTGCTGCTGCTACTACTGCTACGACTACTACGACTACTACTACTACTACTACTACTACTACTACTACCACCACTGCGACTACGACTACTACGACCGACTACTACTGCTGCTGCGACTACTACCACCTGCAACTACCACGACTACAACCACTACAGGATTAAAAGGATGATGGTGCTAGTACATAGATATGTATATATACAATATACAAATACATGTATATATAGACTTTCATATGTATATATATATATATATATGTATGCACATAGACAGGCATATACATATATGTATACACATACTTATAGACACATGTATATACACTTGTATGTACACATGTATATATACGCATGTATATATATATATATGCATACATATATACAGATATATATATATATACATATATATATATATGCATCGCAAAATATACATACATATACATATACCTTTACATATATACATATATATATATGTACACATATACATACATACATATGTACAGATTTACATACACATCTGCATATACATATACATACACACACATATATACATATATATATATATACATGTATGCATATAAACATATTATGGCTATATATATATACGCACGTATTTACATATTTCTTTGTATGTATGTAGATGCGGCTTGTTGTACCTATGCTACAGATCAGCACATATTCATGAAGTTGGTTGTTGTTTCACAGGATTACTTCTACCATGCTAAAAACAGTGAATGTACATGTCTTTGGGGCATGGAATGCACACTAGATGAAGCACCCTGAGTTAGAAGAGCCAAGGCGACTATCTCGCTCTCCCCGAGTCTCGGCACGTTTTCCAGAAGTGCACGGCGAGCTTAGGTGGCGCGATCCACGCGGCAGGCAGGGTTGTCATGTTGTAATAGTAAACTATAACTTACTAGAACCCCCCAAACCATGCAGCCTAAACCTTAAACCCTGCTTCAAATCCGAGGTGCTCTGGCAGGTTTGTATTAGGGCCTGGCGGCACGGGCCGCAACACCCACAACACCTAATACCTACACCTAAGCCGATGCGTCGGCTAATACCTATAGCAGTACTCATATATGCTAGACTTATGCATACACTTCTACCAAACATGTGCATAGACATACCCCATACCCCATACCCATAAACACGAACATATGCATATGCAAATGCAGATACACGAGCACTTCGAACTTAGAGCCCGAGCCGTCTTTCCTTTCCCTTACCTTCCGGCCCTTGAAACCGCCTAGAGGCGACCCCAAACCCTTGTGCCTAAGCATCTTCGACGCAATTGGAGCTTCTTTTCTCCTTCGTGGAAAGTCTTTCATGCAGTACCGCGCTGAAGATTGCGCAACTTCATGTCACTACAAAATCCCAGAGACGTTCCAGGCGCTCCCGCCACCGGCTTCCAAAACACACAAAAAGCATGCCATGCCGTGGGGGAGCCTCATCGGAGCTGCTTCGAAGATGGGCACGCCCCCCGATGCCTTCTCACATCCCCCTGGAAAGGAAAGATATGGGTCCGATGTGCAGGGATGCGGGGTCGGTGGCACTGGCGGCACCCCTGGATAACTATAAAGCTTTAGCTCGCGCTGCCGCGCTGAGCCATGACGGCCATGCCGGATTCTCGGGGCTGGGCGCACCGGGTGCTCATACATGATGCTCGCCGGATGTCTCCTGGGGTCGTCCACGGGTGCCCCAAATCCCGCCATACCGTGAGGAATGGCAAAACACGTACGTTGCCGGCAAACGAGGTCCCACGCGGCCCGGTGGAAAAAGACAGGTCCGATGAAGCAGGGTCAGCGGCATGGCCCCATTGCCGAACCCTAACCCTCCAGGTACCTACTATATAGGGCCCTAGGGGCTCTAGTACCCTATATAGTGGGTACCTGGGGGCTTAGGGGAAGGCAGGCCTGAAGCGAACAGGGCGCATGCGCTCGGGGACCGAGCGATGGCTGCCGCCAATGCAGACGACCCTCAACGCTTGTTCGTAGTCGGGCCAGTTTGCGGCTGCCCTAAACCCTAAACCCTAAACCCTAAACCCTAAACCCTAAACCCTAAACCCTAAACCGTATCCTTGCGCCGCGGGTTAGGAGGGTAGTAGGGCCCTGGGCAAGTTGTGGACTTCAAGCCATAGCCTCAGAACTTTGAACCCGAACGCCCTGAAGCTTGAACCTGAAGCCCAACCCCCCATAAACCCTAAGCCCTAAACCCTCCATACCGCTCCCAAGCCCAAAGCTCGCAATTCCAGCATCACGCCGGAGCGCGCACAAACTTTCACGCACGCACCCAAAAAGGAGACAAGCACAGCTCACTGCACTGTTTCATTTGGCAGGCGCCGTGCGGATGAAAGGCCATGTATCTTGGCAAAAAGGCTCGGCAAGTCTTGCTTCCCACTTCGGTCATCTGCAAGATTGACTGGACACCAAAACGGTAAGTCTTATACCGCGTTTTCGGGTTAAGATTAGGGTTTAGGGTTTCGTTGCCCGCCATGAACTGGACCGTTGCACATCCCCTCACTACCGCTGTTGGACCTGTGAGTTTTCAAGACCATGAGGTGGTGAGGTGAGGTGCGGTATATTAGAACTGCATTGAGAAGCCCTCAAGGTTAATATTGTGCCAGAACCGCTAAACTTGCAGGGCGGAAACCCTGGAATATTTTTTTTACATTAGGGGTCACAGCCCACGGTCTGCTGATAAGGTTGAATTCCGTGATGTCATGGCGACGACTGTGCGGGGAGGACTCCGGACCATCCGTTGTGCCAATTGATGTTAGGTTTCGACATGGGTGCTGGAAGTTGTGGGGAACTAAGAAACCCAGGTTCGAGGCATCACTTTGCACCATAAAAGAAGAGGCTGAATCCGACCCCAGTGCCGGTGAGGAAGTTAATGCTGATGACGACGATGATGACGATGATGGTGAGAGTGGTGTTGACGAGGTGATGATGATGATGATGATGATGACGATGGTGACGATGATGGTGGTGATGATGATGGTAATGGTGATGGTCATGGGATGTTGCTGATGGCGATGATGGATGATGATGGTGGTGGTGCTGATGCTGGTCATGATGACGATGGTGATGGTGATGGTGATGGTGCCGGTGATGGTGATGAAGAAGCGGAAGAACAATATGATAATGATGATGATGGTGTTTGAATGTATTCTCGGTGACACTGATGCGACTCACGAAGAAAGCATCGATGCTGGTTAGCAAAGCCACAAAATCCGCGATGGCCCATGTGGTCTAGTTGATGGTGGCTGTGGAGATGATCATGAGGACGGTGGTCACGCTTCCCATGACGATGATGTTCATGACGATGTCGAGGATAATGTGAGGGCTATGAAGCTAAGGTTGATCAGACCCGTCGTGTTGACGTCAGCGAAGATGAGCATGACGATGGTGGCAGCGGTGGTGATGCCGCGGCTGTTGTTGATGATAGTGAGCACATCAGAATGACCCTTCTGTTTTGACGAGCGCGATATCCAATGTAGCAATGCAGGGGTCAAAAAACTCATCATTATCATCGACCCCAAAACCCCATCGTGGCTAGAAGCAGCTTCCTGTGATGTGCCTCAAGGTATGTCATAGGTACGCCTTGACACTAGTAATCATCGTATTAGCTAGAAGGGGCCCCCATATTATGCAGCAGTTGACTTGGATGCAAGGAGCTGCTGTCACCAGTTGGCTTATGACCTTGGAAGCTTGGCCAGGAGGGGACGGAGTAAGTAATGCAACATGAATAATAGTATTCGCCGTAGTAATAGTAGTAGTAGTCGTCG